AGATGAAGAGATACAGCAACTCATCAAGAGCCTTGACACTGCCCTGAGGCGACAATCAAAAATAAACCAGCACTAAGAAGAACACCTCCACATCAGAAAAAAGACTGAGAGACTTTAAAATACATTTTTGTGACTATTCATGCATGCATGTATGTACTCATAGCTATAATATACATAATCATTATCATTAAACTTTATTTTAACATAACAATATACTAGTACTGGATTATAATGGTGAGATACTAGGGGAGAGAGAGAATGAAATAGAGCAACAGGGATTACAAAGAATTGATAATGGTGTGATAATTGTAAGCCTTTCTTGGAGTGCAAATATTTTTTCTCACTTCTTCCAGCAGAAAAAGAAATGTAATATCTCATACATGTAAAATAAACATGCAGTTTAAATGTGGTATAATTAAATATAGTACAAGGTGATTTATTGGCGAAAGTAATATTTGGCGAATTTACCTGTGGAAAGTTAATGGCAAATTTTATATTAGCAATTTTGTGCCACGTGCCATTGAGCATGCTCAGATTGAAACAAAATGGCTGATTTTATATAGGCAATTTCTTCATAGAACCGCTAATCGCCAATATTAATTCCTCGCCAATAAATCATCTTGTATGGTAGTCGGTAGCTGACAATATAAAAAGGTGACTCTATAAGGTGATATGCTCTTACTTCTTCTTGTTCTCAGAGAGTGTGGTCAGTATGGGTACACTGGAGAGTCTGCCATTGAGAGATTCAAAGGCATTGGTTTGAGGAAGGAGCATCAGTAGGCCATACATAGTCTGGACTAGGTTAGGATACTGGTTTGGTGATAATAACTGTAACCTTAGGACTGTAAAAAAATGGATAGTTACATCAATATGTATCAAAAAATGTAATAAAAATTTGGCATAATTTCAGAGCCATTTTTCAGAAAAACTATGGGCTATAGCCTTAGGTATTTTTTAGAATCTTGGTATTTTGTTAAAATGGCCGTAACTTAATAAAATTAAGTTGGAATTAGCTCAAACTTGCTACACAGCATAAGTACATCAATATGCATCAGAAAATGTAATAAAAATTGGGGGGGGGGGGGTGATTTCGGAGCCATTTTTTGAAAACCATGGGCTACACCGCTACAGCCTTGGGTATTTTTCAGAATTTTGGTGTTTTCTTAAAATGGCTGTAACTTGAAAAATTTAAGTCGGAATCAGCTCAAACTTTCTACACAGCATAAATACATCAATATGTACCAGAAAATGTAATAAAAATTTGGGGTGATTTCGGAGCCATTTTTTGAAAAAAACCATGGGCTATAGCCTTGGGTATTTTTCAAAATTTTGGTGTTTTCTTAAAATGGCTGTAACTTGAAAAAACTAAGTCAGAATCAGCTCAAACTTTCTACACAGCATAAGTACATCAATATGTATCAGAAAATGTAATAAAATTTGGGGTGATTTTGGAGTCATTTCTTGAAAAAAACCATGGGCTATTATAGCCTTGGGTATTTTTCAAAATTTTGACATTTTCTTAAAATGGCCGTAACTTAAAAAAATTAAGTTGGAATCAGCTCAAACTTTCTTCACAGCATAAGTACATCAATATGTATCAGAAAATGTAATAAAAATTTAGGGTGATTTCGGAGTCATTTTTTGAAAAAACCTACTAATTTCACTTATAAACTCATTACTACTGATTTCTGATCCTATTTCAAATTCATTTTATTATTATTATTATGGGCTATAGCCTTGGGTATTTTGTCAAAATTTTGACATTCTCTTAAGATGGCCGTAACTTTAAAAAATTAAGTCGGAATCAGCTCAAACTTGCTACACAGCATAAGGGCATCAATATGTATCAGAAAATGTAATAAAAACTAGAGACAGAAGCATGTACACTCACAGGTAAATATTGGTGATTCTATTAGTTGGACTAGTCTATCAGTTTCTTGCAATACTTCTGAAGTGATCTCAATTTCACCACTAAACAACAAGAAATGAAAACAATTATTATTATTATTAATACTTACAATTTAGCTACTATGTTAGCTGCATGTTGATAATTCTGTGACAATAGACACAGAGCCACTGTAGCTATGGCATTGTGACACCAGCAGTCATAAAGACTCTTGAACAATATCCAACTGTCCTGCAAGAAAAAACACATGAAGTATTAACAATAATATCTGGAAAATATTATATTAAAATTCAAATGATATTATAAGGAGATAAATATTGCAATTGTTCACTATAGTATTCTCAGAGGTGGATTGATGTGAAGTGATGCAGTGAGATCAATGTAAACCAATGGGCAACAATCATGATTCAGCTGCTATGTGTTGGTATACCTTAAGCCTACTATTTTTAGCGTCTACTAAATTTAGCTATATTAGCGAGAGAGCTTTAAATCGCTAAATTAAATAGATGCCAAAATAATTATTATTCATTATAATGGTTATTATTTATAGTTAATTTGGTTAAAAACGCTAAAATTAGTAACGCTAAACATGACTTTTGCTGATTCCGCTAAAATTAGTAGACGCAAATAATAGTAGGCTTAAGGTAACTCTAGACTTTGATGGTCAATCTTTAATGTACGTGTACTTGTGTATGGTTTCTACTTGTGTATGGTTATTATTACTGTAACCACATTAATTACTGCTGATGCATGCACATTATTATGTAACGTTGTGTAACCTTAGAACTTTCTAGACTTTGTGGTTTCACTGGTTTTATGTATCATGCTTCTCAGGGGCGTATCTAGAAATTTGGAAAGGTAGATGCTGAAGGCACGCGAAGCGCACCGCAATTTTGGCCACACCCCTTTTTGCAGCGGTAAAACGGCATTTTTCTTTATTTTTGTGAATTACGGGTGTGGTCAAAATAATTTCAAGCATACTGGTACTTCTGACGACTTCTGATTGCTCCTTAAAGTACTGGAAACTGCTGAAATCATGATCAGGGGGCTAGATAACTTTGTTAAGAGGCTTGGTAGTGATGCAAAAGTCTAGGATTGGAGTAATTTTTTTTGAGCCCAGCCATGAGGGGGCGGGTGCTGAAGCCCCCTCAGCCCCTGCTGGATACGCCCCTGCTTTTTATTGATTTTTGTCAGTTGTTCAGTTGTTGTTCAGTAGTTTGCTTTGTTGTTGTTGTTCTCAGTAAAATAATCTAACACTATAGCTAGTGCGAACAAGATCAATGGGGATTATTATAGCAGCTGTTAGCTGTATTCATGTACATGTACATTGTACATGTGCACTTTCTGAGTTTTAGTATTACAGTATTAGGGACGAGTCAGGAGTTCAGGACCACACTCTTTCTCAAGCTATCTATTCACAGTCCCTTCTCTCAAAGATGGCTGCTTCAGGTATTGTAAAGCTTGTACTAGTATAGCTACATCCTTTTGTATCATTTAGTGAACTATAGTAAGGAGAATCCACAAGATCCTGTTAAAAGAGAACTAACTACAAGTAAATATTAAATAATTCTAATTTTCTGGCATTAAAACTCTTTGTTTTATATAAAGGTGATCATGGTACCATTATGGGACTGATTGACAAAGATATAGCTCCAAAATATAAAGAATTGGCTGTACAGTTCTGTATCCCTCAGGGCATAGTAGACACCATAGCCTACAATAACAGAAACAACTCAGCATGGCATGGACTAAATGATGTTGTTGCTGATTGGCTGAGAGGAAATACTGAAGTCTATGATGAAGGAGTTAAAGCTAATGTAAGGTGGCTGTATGATGCTGTCAGACAAATTAAGCGTAAGGACCTTGGAACCAAAATTGCCAAAGGTAGATCTATTTTTCTAAATATCTTTAAAATTGAATTTGATATCTCAAATGTTTACATACAAAATCCTTTCATAGAGTTTGGGATGCCAGAGCCTAGTGATTCGTCTACTCAAAAAGGTAGTATTGAAAACAAGAGATGATAAAATATTCCACAATCACTTGATCTTATTATCTCATTTCTGTAGCAGACAAAGGAGCAACTAGTACTGGAATAGAAGAGACTGATTCAAAGTAAATACTCTCTTACAATAAACAAGCATTTTTGTTTTTAAAGAGAAACACTTGGAAAATCAAGAGATGCCCAACATAATCCTGAGACAACAGCTGATGGTAGAGTAGTTACTCTTTGTGAATATCTTTATCTAATATAGACAAGGAACTTACTATGGCAGCAGTCATGAAGATATTTGGTTCTTCTGCTCATCATTACATGACAATAGGGGCTGGGTTGAATGTGAATACAGCTGATCTGATAGAAATGCAAGGAACAACAAATACCAAACTTCATTTGGTAATCCAGAGGTGGTTTGATGCTGATAGAGATGTCAATTGGGATACATTAATAAAACTGTGTGATGAGTTTCCTGATAAACTGGGCAAAGCAAAATCTAACCTTCTGGCATATATAAGTAAGTTAATATAACCCAATACTCAGTGGCTCTTGTGTGTGTGTATAACTGCCATAAATACTTAGCTCTACTTTACTAACGTAACTTAGCTGGCTATTACTTATATCTTCCATCTACTGTTTAGACAATAATGATAAGAAATTAAAAGTGAAAGCAGAAGATTAAATGAAGTCATGCCGTGGCAGTCTATATCAATTGATACATGACATTAGGATCTTTATATTTTAGTAAACTAAACTGACATTGTTAAAAATAGACTCTTAAACTATCTACAAGAAAAGACACATCATGTCAACTAATATGTATAATAGCAATAAAATAATAAGTAGAAAATTATTATTAAAATTTAAGTGATAATTATTACTAGTATCAAGAGTAAATTATTATCTACTCTTGCTAGTATGGATTGATGTGAAGTGATTAGAACACAAAAGGATACATAATCCAGCTGCAGCTAGCTCACGTGCACTGCT